AGGCCTGGCGCAATATGGTTCATGGGGTCACAAAGAGTTGGACACGACTTAACGACTGAACAACAAAAAAGATTTGGCAATGCAATTCATCATAAATATTATTAAAAATATTACAAATAAAAAGATGATGGTAATATTTGTGCAAATGTGTGCAAGACAGAGAGAGATGGATGATAAGGGAAAATCTATAAAAGGTAGATACGCATAAATTCCTGACAGAAATTAATAATAGTATGGAAAATAATTGGTAAAAATGAAATGATTGCTAAGACTTTGTACATAAGGGAAGGTATGTTTATTGAACTATGCAGACTGATATTATAAAATAAATATAAATATCTTTTAAAAAAAAAAAAACTCAAATGTGAGTGTAAACCAACACTGAACTTATTCAATAGAAAAATGAGAAAAGGAGAGAAACTAAAATTGATAGATGTGTCTTTGTAATCCTTCATGGAATATCAGTATTTAATCTGGCACTAGTTTCATTTCTGCTCTGTTTCTTTCTCTAGGTGAACATCCAGCTCCTGAGCTGTTTCACAGTGCAGGATCTCTTCATATTGGAGACTCAATCTCACTGTTGTGTATGGATCATACAAACAGTAACATAACAAGATTTTTTTTCTGCAAAGATAAAACCCTTGTTTCAGCCCAGAAATCAATATCCAACATGGCTACGTATACATTTAATATCACACAAAGCTCTACTGGACAATATTCTTGTGGGTACCAACATAAGGGAGGACTAAACCAGCAGACAAAGTCTGTTCTCAGTTTGTTCTGGAATCTGACTGTCCCTCCAGGTAAGAAAGAACATTCAATAAGCTTTCAAAAACCACTGAGATAACCAATACATTGTTGCTTTGTGGAGTGCACTTCTTCATGTATTCTTCCAGTCTAATGGTTAAGGCACCAGGCTAGAAACCTGAAGACTGTGAATTCTAGTCCTGTTTTAGGCATGAAAGCCAACTAGGTGACTTTGGGCCAGTCACTCTTCCTCAGCCCAATTCACCTCACAGGGTTGTTGTTTTGGGGGAAATAGGAGGAGGAAGGAGTATGAGGTATGTTCACTGCCTTGAGTTATTTATAAAAACAATAAAGGCAGGATAAAAAATCTTTTAAAAAAACCACTTTTTCATGTATTCTTCCAATTTTCCTTCAAAATACACTCCTAATCACAACTTTGCTGCTGATTTTGCTACTGATTTCAACAAGCTCTGGAAACAACAAAATGGATTCGCAAGAGCTGTGCTGTTCCTCTCACCCTGTATATTAACAGCAAACTCTCTTTAGCTATAACAAACCTGTTAATGCACAAGATAGAAATATTTTCAAGCATGTATAAAATGCCAAACTAATTTTTGAGGAAAGGGGAACGACTTCCAAAGCTGTCTAGGGTGGAGTAAGTATGGCTGCAAAGTGTCTGACTTTAGTGAGAAAACTGAAAACTGAAAGGTGGGTGTAGACAAAAAGTGTAGATAAAAAGTGAAATAGAGTCTCCTAATCAAGGACATGGCATTGCTGCTTTGCTAAAACCTTCTAGAACACATAATGTTGTAACATTTTCTCACAGATCTCTCTTCTGATTCTGAGAATATTGACTTTCTTTCCTAAACAATGCAGTAATTACTGAAGTAGTGTTCGCAGTTGTTTATAAGATTTTGGATACTTTAGTCATATGTGAAAGAAAATGACTAAAAATGGGGTGGGCAACAGGACCACATACATAATAGTATCTTTCCAGTGCTCCCATTTCTAGGTCAGTTGCATACTCAACTTATTTACAAAGCACTGCTACGCCTGGGTTGGTGAAGGTGTGTAGGAAATATTCATGCTGTTTTGCTTTCATGATCCAGAATGTTCAGATACAGATATTGTGGTGAATTTACTGTGTTGCTAGCCTTACTTGACACCTTTTTCCGTACATGACTAGCCTTTGAATCAATGTAGAAATATATGAAAGGAACGCCTAGTATTTTCCTAGATTCTTTATTGCCTTGTGCAGTATAGAATTGTTTCCTATTTCTGCAATTGCAATAAACAAATGGGACCATAACCAAGGAATCATAAATTAGGTTTTAAATCCCTCCATGGACTTTTCAGCTTGGGAGAGTCATTCACCCATAAAGATTTCTTTAGCAGAGTTACACATTCAGAATTTTTGACAGCAGCATAAACATAGATGTAATGTTATGGAGATCTTCATCTCTGTGCTGTTCTTAGCCTCTTTGTGATCTTATTTTTTTGTTTTTGTTTTTTTTTTGGAAGGAAAGGATAATTTCCATTCCTATGCACCTGAACGTGATGAAATCGATGGGACTACAAATTTCATTGGTGAGATAAATTAGTAATTGGAGGATGGCTTTAATACTGAAGGCATTGATTATGTGTACTTTTGTGTTTCATTCTTTTGTGCTAATTAATCTAATGGATGACACTGAACATTTACCTCTCTTTCAACTAGAGGGCTCCATTGTGCCCTAACTGCACTGAAAAAATCATAATTTTTTTTTTTTTGTCAGTTTCCATTAATATTGAGAATTGTCATATGCTGTTAAGGAGTCACATATAATTCTAATTTGGCAAATGAAAGACTTTCTAGTTGTACAAATAGGGGTCCTCCAATGGGAATGACTGACACAAATGAAATTTTGTAGTACAACATTTTGGATGACTTCACTAACTGGAAATGCCCTTTCTTCCATTACACCTTCAGTTAGTTGGACTGCTTTGCAATCAAATTATAATCTATTTCGAATATGTCATTTTTACATTAATTAAAGTTTATGGTACATTATTTCTAGGAAGTGACATTTGATGGTTTTTTCCTGTGGCATTTTCAGCCTTGGAAAATCTATTAGCAATGTCTCAATTATCTATACAAATAATAATTCTTGAAGGGAATAAAGAATTAGAGATTCCCATTTTGCCTAAACCATAGAAAGAACCATTAACACGTATAGTTTTATACACAGCATGTGTTTCTTTTTTTATTTCTTTTTTCATAACTTTCTGTATTTTTTCTTTGTGTTTGTTTTCTGTATTCAGTGAATAAAAGGAAAAAGGGTGAGCTGTGAAGGAAAGAACAAACTAAATAGCTTGGCTGTTTTAAAGACAAGATAGAGGAGAGGTGCCTGCCTGGATTACAAAGGGCTGGTTCTACCTCTGTGGTGGGAATCAAGAAGTGAAACTTTTTCTTCTTTGATCTACAGTAATTCGGATTATTCTTCCTTTCTGTAGACAAGAAAATTTGGATAACATTGGTTCTAGTCTTTGTTATTCTGATTCTGGCTGCCTTGACTTATCACTTGGTAAAGAAAGGTGAGTGATGAGGTCAGGAAAAGAATAGAGATAAGAGGTGGGAGGAAAGTGCTGAGCGTGGTACCAAATCTATTCTGTGGGTTTATATCAGTCTAATCATCAGGGCTGACCCCTAATCTCAGTATGTGGAACTGGGAGTGAAAAACAATGTTGTCCTTCATAGTTAGGTGATTGGTTGGGGATGAAATACTGTTCTTTCAATAATCTCCCAAAGAATTAAATTATTGATTGATTGATTAATTAGTGAAATACAAAACAGCAGCAATATATATATATATATATATAGAGAGAGAGAGAGAGAGAGAGATTACAGTGATTAAAATAAGCTAAATGGGGGGGTTAACAGTAAAAAATGATCCATATAAATAGCTATAGATAATGATACAATCTATAAGCATATAATCAAATCTAAACCATATTAAATATATATTGCATCACTTTCTCATTTTTAGAACACGTGGACTTTCAAAAGTACATAATAAACTGATATCCTGGATCCATTCCTTAAAATTAGGAAAGACGGTTTCTTTTCAACTACAGAAACTGAATGGAAAACTCACCTCTTCATAAAGTGGCAAATGTCATATTTTAAGAATATAATTCAGCATCATATTAAAATCCTTAACTACAATATTTATTCCCCAAATTGCTGAAAAGTGGTGAAGAGCTTCCTGCCATTTTGGGTGGGAATTACGTGAAAATTCTAGAGAAAATCTTAAGAGTGGCTTTTTTCTTGCTTAATTAAATGGATAAAGGAAAACAAAGTAACACGCTTCACACATTCCTCATCTCAGAAAAGGCAGAAAATCCTGGGCCACCAACATGATTGACTGTGGCTCCTACATAGCCAAGAGTTACATGAAAGCAACTGAAAACTGATTCCTGCTTCCTTTTCTCTTTTTGTTTTAGCTACATTGTGTCAGTTAAAGGAAAAATCCAATCCTCAGAACACTCCTTACGATAATGGGTAATATTTTATCGTAAACTTTGTTATTGATTCTCTTCTTTGAGGGCTAATCTAGAAATGTGAAGGTATCAGAAGATGTTGGTGTGGACGTGATTGCTGAAAAAGAAAGATCATTGTACCCAAATGATATGCCTGAAACAGAAGAAGGGAGAAGCAAGGATAAGACAGGTTGATTATGTGGATACAGATTCCATGTGAGACAGATTACAAGTATTAATAATTATAATGTGTTAAATCATGTATGTGGTTGGTAGGAGTCAAAAACGACTTGATGGCACATAATCAAGCAATCAATGTGTTAAAAATTATTGTATGTGTTGAGCCCTTTTGACATAGCCTGACACCTTTTGATGCATGTGAGTTCAGCAGCCTTTCAATCACTTGCGCTGCTAAAGTCTTGTTTTTCCAAAATGGTCACTTTGAGATCTGCAATAGAGTGTCCTGGGAAGTTGAAATGCTCTGATATTGCTTTGTCCTTGTTTTGAGGCCTGATGTCCAACTTGTGTCCATTAATTCTTTTGCACAAAGTTTCTCCCAGTTGTCCTGTGTAGAATCCAGAGGGGCATTGCTGGCAGATGATAGCATATATTACATTAGAGGAAGAGCAGGTGAAGGAATCTCTAATCTGATGTGCATATTGTTAACTGATAAGGTATTTGTAATCTGTTGCACATGTAGCCTGCATCTGCATAACCATCATGTCTTCCCTTCCTCAACCTGCTTTAAATCTTACATCAGTTTAACCCAGTGTTTCTCAACCTCGGGAACTTTAAGCCATGTGGACTTCAACTCCCAGAGTTCCCCAGCCAGCACATCTTAAAGTTCCTGAGGTTGAGAAACACTGGGTTAACCACTCTGTGTGTTGTATGAACTGAGCTACAGCTCATGAAAGCCGTGTCTTTAAAAAGAATGTGTTAGTAGGGTGCCTTCATGCTCCTTCCGATTCTAGAAAGGGATGTAATATAATTCTTGTCTTTTTCACTTACAGAGAAGGAAAATATGCAACATCACTAATGTGTTGTCTCATGTTTTTCTTAGGGAAGTGTCTGACATCAGAAACAACAGGAAACATTTGAGTGAACAAGTTCAGTGTAAGAATTGATTGTTCTTTTCTCCTTAAAAATCAGGGGCATAAAATCCACAAAGCATTAAGCATCAACAGGGATAATATCTAGCTCATTATTTTGAGGGAGCAGAGAATTGGCCTCTTCAGAAAGGTCCACCACCACCCTTAGTTTAAGGGAAGTAGGTAAGATTTTACAGCTGCAGGTGTTTTTGGACTTTAAAAGGTATGTGGTTACTATATTCACAAAATGGCTGCCATGGTGGCTAAGATTCCTCACTAAATTCCCACTAACCAGAACAGAAACCAGACTTCAGGATGTTCCCTGTTACTTCAGTGGGCCCTTTGAGGGTCTCAGAAGTGCTCCTTTAAATCATGAGATATTAGGAGCTGGGTTTTTTTGTTTTTGTTTTTTTTGTTTTGGTCTTTTTTGTTTATGGCAGCTTTCTTATTTATTTCTTGATTTGCTTATTTATTTATAATAATATTTTTAAAAATCAGATGGAACCCTGATGGGTATGAAGGAATATATCTGGGTCTACCTGGCTCCCCAGAGCTCTTGGACTGGCTCTTCTAAAATATCATGTAAAATTATCAGCTCTTCAGTTGGTACATGTGGTGCTGCCTTTAATGGCAATTTGATTAGCAGAAATTAGTAAGGAACTATCTTTATTTCCACAGAAAGCTTCAGTTGTTGATTTAATTATTTTTCATTTTCTACTGCTGGTAAAGATACAAGAAGAGGCTGGTTTGATTTCTTAAAAATCGGTGGCAATCTTCTGTGGTATGTGGCATGACTGTATTATGTGAGAACAAACATGCATTTAATAGATGATGATGGTAATGAACTTCAATACAAATGCATTCAGATATTTTCAGTAAAAATCAGAATTTTCTATGGTCATTTCTAATTCATTAAAGCTTCCATTTCATGTGTTTCTTCAAATACTACAAAACTTGCTTTGGTGAAATGGGATTATTTATAGAATTTGTAGTTTATTCTCACCTTACACACTGTAGTTCTTAAGTCACACAACCAATTCTTTGTAGAGGCTTTGACCAACACATAGCTACAATATTTTTGCAAGATTGCTCTGCACAGCCTACACAGGAAGGCTAAGATAAGAGTGGTCCAAATTACTACAGAGGTATTTTTACATGCTTGCATTATATACAGCATTTGCTTTTTCACTGATCTGCCAGCTAACTGCACTTTCAAAACTGTGTTATATATAGGGACTGTGCCTCTTAACAGCCTTTAAACAGGGCACGCAATTCAGACTTGAGTGTTTTGTCTATGACTATTTGTTATTGTTTAGTCGTTAAGTCATGTCCGACTCTTCGTGACCCCATGAACCATATTGCGCCAGGCCTTCCTGTCCTTCACTGCCTCCCTGAGTTTGCTCAGTTTCATGCTCATTGCTTCAGTGATG